GTGTTTTTTTAACCTTAAACCGCATAAACACATTTCATTACACCAAATACACAAAATAATGTTCTTTTTAGCAACATCATATGACCCCTTTAATGTTTTGAATTGTTATTTATACATATATATTAAATTAAAAAACGTAATTTAACTTAACTAACCTCGTTCTCGCCATGAATATAGCCGAGGTAGCTCGCATGGCGTTAAATCATAAACAAACAAACAAATACATATATACTTGTTGCATATTTGTACTCTGAATGTCATTAGATCTTCTGCCAAAACTTATGATTGCATAAAAGTGATTCTTCATGAGCGAAAACAAAAAGACCATAAAAATGATATATGTTTGTATATTAATAAAATGTAACTTATTCATTTTAAAATTTTTATTTACTTATGAAATGTTTTAATTAACCACTGATTACAATGAACTAACTTAATCCACCGGATGGGGAAATTCAAAGGGGGGCAAAGACTTTTCCACAGCACTGTTTTGAGTGTCAGTGGATGTTTAGATAAACCATCAGTGCTCTTCTGTGTTCTAACTGCAGGTGCGAGGGCTGCGGTGCCATCTTCCATGCCGAGTGCCGGATGCGAGCCCAGCCTTGCCCGCGATGTGTGCGCAGAGAACTACACAAGAAGCCGGCGTCATTCTGGAAGAGGCACGGCCCTCACGACAGCCCTGATGACGAGGTGCTGGACTGCTTTGAGCTGAACACCTGAGACGGTTTATCGAGAGCGCTGCCGAGCACACTGCACTAATGAAGTCCAAGTGCTGCTGCATCCAACAAGGACAAGATTCCGTGCTTCCTCGGTGGAAGTGCTCCGTGAAAACCGAGAAACAGAGGCGTTTTTTTTTTTTATGTTCTCCCTCACCTGAGAGAGATGGGCACAGAGACAATAATTCAGCTCCCGAAGAGCAGAGTCTTCATAATGATACCAATTTACCCTTCCCTTTCATCTACCAAATGACAGCCAGGGCCAACCGACAAATACAGGCAAAGTTCGCTCACACACTTTTACTGACAGATGTAAAGTAATGCACTTTCTGGCTTGGATTGGTGTCTTGTCCCATCCACCTGACCTGGAGTTTAAAAAGTTGGACTGTTTATCAACACTCAATGGCACTGCCTATAAGCAGCTGAACCACGTTGTTCTTGCTAACTGCCTGGTCCGTGATTACAAACTACCCTGGGCCACCAAGCCCCGAAATTATAGTCTAGAGTTCCAGGGCTTTGTTTAGCATTCATACGTCTTTTTACAAGAAACGTAAAGAAAACCCGCCGTGGACAAGCTCATAATTCATGTCCATCTAACCTCTGCTTTGGATCCTCGCTGCCTCTCTGCGTTCATATTATGTTTTCTTGCTACTTGAACTTAGTATTGGCAATAAAGTCACTTGTTTTACTTTCGCTGCCTTATTTGACTTCCCATTCTTTGGCCAGACCTGTCTTTCTCCAGTTGGACAACATGTGCACAGTGCACAATAAAAAAAATAAAATAAAAATGACTTTTTTCTAGAAAACCCCTGTTGTAAACGCAGCAAGCTGACTGACATTTTGAATCCTTGAATCCTGAATATCACCATTATATCTAATTTCCCCATTTTCTTTTGTTCTTCAGTTTTTTTCCCTTCTATAAGCATACAGAAAATAGCAGTGGGCATCTCTTCCTGGACACCTCACCAGCAAACAGAAGCTTCAGATATAAATCACATTCAGCATTACTGATATAAAACACATTGGAACTACCTGCACATTCAAAAAACAGTTACTGGTTATACTGGACTTGAAACATTCTGGCTGGAGCTGTACGCTTGATGTTTGACACTCCGTCGGAGATTTACTGAGATTTACATCATTACTGGCCAACAGTGTCACTTATTGAACTCTTTGAGATGGGTCTAGGTCAACATACATATCAATTGCTACCATGTTACATTTTGTTTTATGAGAAAATGTGTTAATTCCATTAAGCTTACGTTTTGCACCAAGAAGATTACTTCTGAATGAGATTCTGTCTTAGTTTACGTATGGTTGGTGTGTGATAGGACAGTGTAGATTGATGGATGATCATGTTAGCTGTTCAGAATATTTGGCTCTATTTATTGAATCTGTGTCTTTTTGCTTGCCTTAAATTAAAATCCAATGCATTGGCCTGTTGATCTTCAATTAGCAAGCTATAGTCACTCAAAAAAATGTTTCAGTATTTATTAAAATAATCAGAATATCAGGCTATAGAATATATTGTAATATAATCACTTAGTGCTTTCGTTTTTTGGTAACCTTTACTTACCTTACTAAAAAAAAGGAATTGCCCCAGAATCTGACGATCTTGTTTTCCCATAAGAGAACTCGTCATTTTACCATTTTTAAACTTGAACTGAGCTAAATGCACCATGTTTTACATGATACTATAAGATGCAATGGTGTATTTGCAAACTGTTCGATTTGAAAGTTTGATGTATGATGTTATATTACATTATTTGCACTGTTCTTTAAAATCAGGGATTCTTAACACACTGAATAATGGTCATGGAGGGACAAACAAAAAGGAAACTCTGTGGATGTACTTGGTGAATATCTTTTGTTCTTTCAGTACACCAAATCGGTCTTTTATTTTCATATTTGTTGAAGGTGTAATGGAAGTTTCTTTTTCTGCCATCATGTTGTTCTCAGTAGTATATTTACATATCGGTTTTGTTTCAGATTTATTGTATTTATATTCTTCACTGTAATATCTGTATCAGTTTATGGATTTTCCCTGTGCTTTCTTGTATTCTGCAAACTCTTCATTACAGACAACCTCTTATGCAACTACAAATATTTGTGTTTCAGTACAGGTTCCTTCCAGTTTTTCTCTTCTTTTATTTATTTTTTATTTTTTTACCACTGTTGCCAATAAAGTAAATTGCTTAACACATTCTCCTCCTTTTATGCTTCAACGGTAATGTCATCATCTGAATTAATTTTAGGATTTAGGATTCTTCACAGATCATTTTCTTGGTCAGAATCCAAGGTGGCAGCAGTGGAACAAATGCATCATGGCCGTGGCTGTGGTTGTGGTGTTCCCTTTTGGGTCCCGGTGCACCGGAGTAGGTCCAAGCATTGACTCACGAGCTAATCCCAAATTAAAAGCCACATGGTTGTATCTGGTTCTGTCTGGAGTTTTACCAATAACCACTGGACCTGTTAGAGACCACAGTATGAGGCTTCTAATCTTTTGCACAGTGGTACCGATGTATAAACATTTGAAATTCCGTCTAGTGATATCATGATTCTATTGAGAACAGTTACCATGGAGGTATTTTCTTCATCTTTAAGGAATTTTAAATATTTGTCCAATCTATCCAGGGCTCAACAATAAGGATGGTCCGCTGGCCCAGGGCCAGTGTGAGTGAGTTTCATGCCAGTTGACACTGAAAATGTCACATTCAACTTATACATCCACATTTTATGCCTTGCAAATGTTCGTTTTTTTAAGATGTGTTTTACATTTTTGTTGCAAATTCTGCTGATTTGTCCGTTAATGTTATTTAGCTGGATAACATAAAAATGGGGTTTGTTGAAATTGCAAAAATAACTTGTGATTGTGTTAAAAGCATAGATAAGTATGTCATAAACTAACTTTTCTTTTAAAGGCACAATATGTAATTTTCGCCGCTAGAGGGCGCGTATTCAAAATAAACAAAGCGACAAAGGCTTAGGTTGATGACGCTGTGACTGAGTGTGGAATCATGGGAGTTGTCGTCTTCATCCCCACAGCCGATGCAATCTGACAGGACTCGGGCAGAAATCATGTTCATGGATGAGCTAATGATTTATTAATGTAGTAGAATGAAGCAGGGTGAGGCAGGAAGCGGTCGAAGCTAAACGAGGCCGCTGAACAAGCGTGACACACGGATCGAAAGCAGCGGAGCTTTTATTATGCCACAGTCGACCGCTTCCGCTCATTCCGGTCATGCGTATGTGGGGTGGGGTGTGGGGGGAAAGCAGCACTGTTTTATCATACTAAATACTTTTGAAAGTTATAATGCTACTCTGTGCGGTCGTCACCGGTCTAATAAAGCGCACAACATATTAAAGTGTCTTTGGTGTTTCCATGTTTTCTACAAAACAAAACCGGAAATCGAGGGGTTATGACGTCATTGGGAGGCGACACAATGACACTATGGACACGGTCTGTGTCACTAGTTAAAATAGCTTATTTCTCTGGATTTAAACAGTCTTCGAAACATTTGGGATAATGTAAGTACACAAGTCAGCAAAATATATAACACTGTTCCAGTGGTTTTTGGATATTTTAATAAAAAAAATCTTACATATTGTGCCTTTAAGTAAATAAATAGAAATAACAATATAAAGAAAAATTAATAAGACAAATATAACTAGCAAAAATAGAAATGCAATGATAAAATAAAAATTTCTATAAATACATTGATAAAATAAAAATATATCCTTCATACATTCTCATTGTTGAGCCGTGCTATATCTTTTCTTTTGTTTATTCTGTTGAACATTAAGATAAACTGTATTTGGACATTTCCCACTTTCTGTTCTTATATATTTTCATTGTATTTACATTAACGTTTTTCAAATGCAGAAAATTTTTCAATATTCAAGCAAAATATTTCACCAAATTAACTGTCACATATACTGTACATGCATGCATACGTATGCTCTCAGTGGTCACCTGTGTGATTTAAAAAAAAAAATTTTTTGGTAACATTTTATGTCTACACCATATATTCAGTTTCATCACCTTACATGTGCATGGAAAAAAAGGACCAGACTTGTATAATATTTTTTTCGCAAACCTTTCCCGATTCTTGAGGGATGTCTCAGTTAAGCTAATGGCTGGCCACCCCAGACGCTTCCTCCCTGGTTTACTTTTTCAACACTTCCCTCATGTTTTTTCCTCTTCCCCATTTTTTTGTTTTGTTTTGTTTGTTTGTTTGTTTTTTCTTCTCTTGAAAGAGAACAGTAATTTGTCCTGGCCTTAGAGAGCTCTAAAGCCTTTCTCTGACAGAATAATCCACCAGGATCCAGCCACTGCCGATAGGCCAGAACATGCCAAGTCTTCCCTCCTTTGTGTGTGTTTTGTGTGAATGTTCACTAACTCTTAGAGCTGGTTTTCGAGCCTGGGCTTAAAATTGAGGCGTCCTACTGATCCCAGACTCCATTACAATGTTAATGTGTGACAGCTCAATGCTGAGGATGCCTTTAAGACGGGTGTTTTCACACATATCTGGACTTGTTTCATCCTTTTTTGGAACGGTGGAGATTTTTTGTGTGTGTCAAGAGGATTTTTTTAGGGATATGCTGTGATTTTTCGCACACAGTGAACAATAGATGAATTATGGCGAAGTTGTAACTAAAAGAAAGACAAACAACACTTTAGATGCCTTGTTTATTGACTATCAAAGCAGAATTTTTATCAACTCTTTTTTCGTCAAAATAGAAATCATATTCGTCCCAAGGAAAATATCTTTTGTAAAAATTTCCAATCAGCCCAGACACGCTGAGCAGTCCGTTCTTGTTCCATCATCCTCACAGTAAGAGTCTCCTGCACTATGTCCCTTTACACCCAACATGAACTAGCGGAAGGGGTGGGAGCGTATATTTGGCAGTTGCGCTATGCTTATGAGGATAGCTGTTGTTTTAGCAGGGCCGTGTGAATGTGTGTGTGAGCTGGATGTGCACGGTCTGACTCATTTGCCTGTGATTTGTATTGAGGAGTGGGCAAATTGAACCTGAGTGTTGGTCGTGCTTAACTGTCGTCACCAATTAGTGCATTGTTGAAAGCCACAATGGCTCCACTGTAGCGAGGGGAACGTTTCCTTTGTGCTTCTCCAGTGGCCCACAGGCCAGTCAAGACTCATTTAGGACTGACAACAAGGGGCCAGAAATGGCATCAGAAAAAGACAACAAAAGGGTGGTTTAAGGAGAAAAAGACGACGGCAGAATGGAGGCAGGAGGGGTGGAGACAATAGTGACATGGGATGGAGCACCAGGGTCCGTTTTTTAGTGAAAAAGGGGTTAGAATGTCTGATTCAACCCTCTGGTTCCCTAACGTCCACCTGCCGCACAAAGACACGAACCCGCGCAATCAGTGCTGAGCAATAACAAGTCTCGACTTCAGTTGTCATTTCTCAAGTTCTGTTTTTTTTTTTTTGTATGTTTGGGATCTTTTCATGCATAGTTATGTTACACACACATTTTGTCCTTAAATATTGATGCGTAGTAATCAAGCCATACTTGTGATTTAATTTTATGTACAAAACTGTAGGGTAGAGTACATTTGGGACATGTGTACAGTTGAAACACATTAAATAACTTGCGTTCAAAGGAACCCTGAGACATGATTTTTGCTCCACACATGTGTATTAGCATTCTCTTTGATCATGGAAAATTTGAAAGGTGTGCGTCTTTCCACTCCAAAGATATCGGCAAAAGTTTTTTTTCCAAGGTAAGATTTTCATTTCACCTTGTCCCTTCCACAATGAATAGCTTTTTATCCTTTTATGACTGTTAAACTTCACCTATATCATTGCAAACGTTACTCTGTGCTCTAAAAATAGACATATTTTATGATATTGTGCCATGCAAGGTCTTTGCATAATCTAGAGAAACATGTGAGTATGTGAGTAAATATACACACAATATATTATTGTGTTCATACAAGTTATATGGACAATTAAACCACAAATGAAAATGTGTATAAATATCGTTTATACGTATCTTTTTATTTTTATTTTTATTTTAACTGCTGCAGTTTTACACTGGTACAGCTGTACATCATCATGTTGTTCAAATGGACTTATTTTTAACATTACGCTGTTAAAAAAGCTTTTCCAATTCCATATCCTATCACTGTACTTCAACAAAATACAACAAAAGCATCCCATATCATATCATCTTCTCGTGACAGAGACAGGAAAGCAAATGCAGATGAGAAAAGGTCAATTTGGTGAGATTGCATCACATTGGCATTGTGTATGAACTGTCCGTCCACACACAAACATGGAGAGTCGATTATCAGATAAAAGCATTTGCCCAAACACAGGTTCAGGCATGTAAAGAAAGAGAGGAGGGAGTGGAAAAACCAACCACCATGGGATATTTTCATGCCCAGGAGACATCACAAAATAAAACAGACGGCTAGTGTGCACCACACCTCATCACGCTTCAACATCATTTGACACTGACAACGCTCTACTGCTCAACTAAAGTAAATCCAAGCTCCACTTATCTAGAGCATGACTGAGACTGATTTTAATCAGGTTATATTTCCTCTCTGTATCACTATTTCAACAAACTAGCTAAGTACTTTAGATACAAGTATGCATACTAGCAGTTTCCCTTGCAAGGCCTGACATACCATGGACACAGTATACAGAAAGGAAGTCAGTCGGCGCTCATGTGACTCCTTAAGGTGGAGTTTTGGAGTTAATGTGTGACAATATGCGTAGGTAACCTATGAGACAGGTGCACAAATGGCTGGAAAGATTGATTCGGTTACCATAGCATTTAAGACACAATCAAACATCTTGAGCGTTACAAGGAAAACAATGCAATCAGCCATATGTGGCCTCGTCTGTCTCAATGATTGATTCTAAGCAAGTCTGTGGCATGTAGAGTTCTGTTTACTCTCGTCTTCTCAGACTTTCTGTGAGCTGATGTCATCTAAGGGTTAATCAAGCATTTGAAACACCCAACGGAGAAGCCGGATTGCTCACTTGCACTTTTAAACACACACATATACTGGCACACACCCTGTGAGACCTTTGGACTTATAGATAGAAAGCTGTGAGATTACAGAATACTGAATCAACAATGTGTGTGTGTGTGTGTGTGTGTGTGTGAGAGAGAGAGAGAGAGAAAGCCACCCTACTGAGAAGAATTCCTAAACATGCTTCCTGTCTGAGTAAGTGAATGGAGGAGTTTGTATAGCACCAGTGC